TCAGCCACTGGAGCCTGCCAGCTGGGCAGGTCCGCACGTTGCAAAACCCCCGCCCCTGCACCCTTTGGTTACCTACGGTCCCTGCATGAGCTGCGGGGCTACAGACCCCACCTGCCCGCCCTCAAGTCCCTGACTCCCCATTCCCGCCGGAGAAGGCAACAGATTTATTTTAAACTCCTATTCCATCGTATTTTACAAACCTACATGAGCCCTTCAGAGGTCCCGAGTGAGAAAAACGGGGCCCTGATAATGTCTCAATGATTGATTGCAGCTGAATGCAGGGGGAGTGTGTGAATGTGGGGAAGGGGGTGGGGGCGGATGGCTGTTTCTATCACAAAAATAAGAACACACAATAGGTTTGACACAGCTGTAAGCATCGGATACTGTCATTAATAATGCGGATCTGTAATATTAAGGCTAAGTCCATATTCAATGTGGTTCTGGACCCAACTCAGTTGCTAAGCTATTAATTGCTATGAATTATTCATTAATATGCATCTATGTCTATGCATACATTAAATGTTAATTTAGAGGCTATTGTGCCCAAAAGAGTAGCAGGTACCTTAGCAAGAAACATATTTTTTTTTAAATCAAGATATGGTCACTAATTAGGCAAAGTGCCCACGTAAAGTCAAGGTCAGACGTAAGAGAAGATAAAATACATGCATGGTCCAATTATAAAAAAGACTCTGGACTAAAAAGGAAAAATGAGCCTAGAGCTTTGCCCTGAAGGATGATGGAAATGTGCTTTGGTGATTAACGAGGGGGAGAACATTCCAGAGACCCAAGTCCTCAAGGGAATAAACCCTTCTCCTCCCAAGATTGTATCTGGGGCTGGCCCAGGGCTGTGGCCCTGCCAATCTCAGGTGCTTTTCTGGGACTTGGGGCAACATATGGTTTATCAGGTAAGCTAAATCCTGCATTATTTAAGGTTTATAAATATTAATAGCCAACTGCTGAACAAGCAGTCAGTTCAGGCCTCAGCATCTTGGTAATGTCATTAGCATGGGAAAACTGTGGAGCAGTTCTACTGGTGCATTCTGCAGTTGCTGCACTTTATATGATGGCTTTTGGGGATACCCCTAACTAAAGCTCAGTTATCCCTTAACACATTTCTGGAAGGTGCTTTGGAGCTGCAGAAGAATCTAAATGAAATTCCATAACCCAGTCATGAAGGCTTCGAGACCTGTAAAGAAACCTGGATCCAGAAGAAAAGATCACAGCTTCTCAATGTTTCAGAGCTGATCCAGGCTACTCTTATAACCCTAAGGTTCCACACTGCTCTCATGCTCAGAAATGACCCCATTCTACCTGTCCACAGCAAACACCAATAATATGTCACTTGACCTGTGAGTGCTCCCTGTCCCACTGACGTTTGACTTTTGCCACAAGTCAAAGTCAGTTTGGCACTTCTGGGCACATTCAGTGTGGACTTCAATTGCTGTACAATTGAATCATGGTGCCAGGGTGATTGGCCATTTATGAGAATTATGAGGGGGGATCTTTATCGAGATGTGGGGAGGATGCAGGGGGCATCAAGTATCTATCTAGTCTCTGGTTTCATATGCACACTGAACTCCAGAAGCAATAAAAATTACTCCTGCAGGCATCCATTTACTCCAAAGACTCATAGAATCCAAGGGTTGGAAGAGACCTCGGGAGGTGATCGAGTCCAGCCCCCTGCCCAAAGCAGGACCAATCTTAATTAAATCATTCCAGCCAGGATTTTGTCAAGCCGGGACTTAATCTCTAGAGATGGAGATTCTACCACCTCCCTAGGTAACCTATCCCAGTGCCTCCTCCTAGTGAAATAGATTTTCCTAATATCCAATCTAGACTGCAACCGGAGACCATTGCTTCTCGTTCTGTCATCTGTCATTACTGAAAAACAGCTCTCTCCATCCTCTTTGGAACTGCCCTAAGGTAGTTAAAGGCTGCAATCAAATCTCCCATCTCTCTTCTCTTTTGCAGACTAAATAAGACCAAATCCCTCAGCCTCTTCTCATAGGTCATGTGCTCCAGATATTACATAACCTCTTGGAAGCAACCCTATTCTGTTCCATCAGTCTATGCTGTCAGGCCTTATCTCACCTCGTGATCAAAAGGTTCAGTAAGTAACTCACAATAAAAATGTGGAGGCCCATCTCAGATGTATCATGCACTCTTCTGTCCTTGTCCGAAATCAGACTGGAAGATTATGAAAATCTGGTTACTTTCAAGTGACCCAGCCATCACCTCTGTAACCTTTTCCCCCATCCCATAAAAAGATTGATAACTGGATCTGACCTCAACTTTTCTTGAGCAGCACTCTCCAGTCACCATATCTCAGCTAGCTGGGCATCATTAATGCCTCCTTTATCAAGCACGGAGCATCAAAGCCCCTCCAGTAGAATAACTCCCCATGATTGGCTTGGGGCCGCTATCGCTGTGATCGTCAAAGGATCCTAAGAATTCAGACATGTAACTTCATTTGAAAATCCAAGTCTATAATTATGTGCTTCAGTTGAGCTGTTTCTTGGACCTTTGCTTTACAATTTTGTCAATTTATGATCCTTTTTTTAGATTTTGTTGTGATCCTTTGAAGTCAACCACATGCCAGGCCTTTTAAAATGATCAGTTACAGGCAGTTTGTCATCTTGATCTTTTTGGGGGCGTCTGTATTGTAATTCTTTGGCAAACCCATGTAACTCCACAGCTTAACTGCTCCTCAGTTCATTTCTTCCTTTATAAAAAGCACACCCATAAACTTAAGCCTCTTTCACATTCACTCACTCAGTGGGCACACATAAATGCCCCGGCGGGCGCCATGGCGCCTGCGGGCACCACGTTGGGGACCACTGTTCCAGGGAATTTGGGTGGGGTCTTCTGTGTTGCAATCTGCTTCTCTCTGGTGGAGTGTGCTTGTTCCGTGAAGATGGATTTAAGGATATTAGGTGTGCATCCCAGACTTTCTCGGGCACAAATTCTGTGATTTCAATGTATGTGGCTATCCATAACAGACTTTTTTGGTGTGTTTTGGGTGGTTATTGGATCTGTGAAGGTAAATAGGGTGAGCAGTGGGACTCTTGTATATTGTTTGTAGAGTTCCACTGTTTCTGCTAATTGTGGTGTTGGGGATGTTGATGCTGATGTGGGAGCGTTATATAGAGTCTGATGGGTAGGTAGTTAATGGCCTGGAGTTTGGAAATTTATGAGGGATCTTAAACTCTACCATCCAAAGGATGAGAATATCATCAATGTATCTTGGGAATATAGTTGGTTTTGTGGTGCATTTTTTCCAGAAATTTTCCCTCAGGGTGTCCCATGAAGAGGTTGGCACATTGGAAAGCCAACCTATTATCGATGGCTGTTGCCATGGTTTGGACAAAGTGATGGTAGGGGTATGATCAAACAATTACAACCCATACTTGGTGGGGACCAAATTGTGAAAGAAATCTTTCCTAAACTCCCCTCCCCCTTTTGCCCTTTAAACAATTCCTCAACCTCAGCACACAGGTATGTTCTCTAGCATATTTACTGTCACGCATCACATCTACACTTGTGCAGCACACAATTGTAACCTAACGTCCAGTGGATGACATACGTGTCCTCAGCTTCCAATCCAGTGAGTCTATGAGTCTTATTCCTTTCTTGGTATAAGAAGAATTAAGGGACGTTTTAGAATAATGGTTTATTTTGAAATTTGGCACTGTGTAGTGTGGTATAGCACTAGGGCCTCCTGACTGGCCAGTGCCTGGTGCAATGGACACTCTGTCTCAGGAAGTCTCAAGGCATACAGCTGAGGACTCTTTCTTCTAGATCATGTTGTATCTAGCTAATACCATGATCCTACATATTTCAGATTCTCCATTTCACTAGATTGCAACAACCCACCTGACTTCTCAAGTTCAAAACAACAAGTGTCATTTCTGCTTTATTAAATTCCTTTTCCATAATTATCTACATACGTAATAAGTGGTTGAATGATCAAATTGTATTTGAAGTAATACGGCAATGCAATGCAACATGAGCTTTAAGTTACTTTAGCTTCCCAGCAACCTTAGGGGAGACCCTTGCCCCAGATATGTCATTTTGGTTATTATTTAAAAATTAAGGGCTCAGAAATTACAGTAGAATATTCTGCCATTAAATCACCATTATTAAAATGACAGAGACTGCCTAAAAAACTGGAGCTTTCATTATTACCAGGAATTAATTATTAATATCTTAAATGTACGCTACATTTATC